AGAGCAGCCTACTAGCTACAGAAATTCTAAAGCTCATGGGTATCTACATATTTTACAGGGTTAATTAAGGAGCAAAATTGTTTAGTAGTAATCCGATTTTTTTTTTTAATTTCGGAGGTCAAAGAGGTCTTTGATATAAAACACTTTGGCATCTAACACCTCTAACATGTATTCTATTGGGAGCCACTGAAAGTTTTTAATCAGGCAAACAACATAATCAGATCTGTGTTTTAAGATCACTTTTGTAGAAATATGGCTAGATTAGAACAGAAATTGGAGGCAGACAGAACAATGAAAAGATTATTGTACTACCCATCTCTTGCCTGAACTAGAAACACACAAGAAACTGATTTAAGAGATATTCAGAAGTAGAATGAATTATTCTTGCTAAAAATTTGGATTTGGGACAAGGAAACAAGGAAGAGTTGCCCTTGATGCTCCCAGCTCCAGTAACTTGGGTGATAACAAGAACTAAAAGGCACACAGAAAGTGCTCAATACCTGGAGAATAAACGAATAAATCAGACAAAAATCTTGCTTCTCACATTAGATGTTTAACAGAACTTTAATTTAACTCCTCCCACCAACCCAAGCGACAACAAAGTTACACAGTATCCTTACAAAGTTGACTAGGTCATTAAAAAAGATAATGAATTCAGTTTCAAAACGTCCAGTGAGCAGTTAAAAATGGATCACTAGGCCAGGCAGTGGCTCAGGCCTGAAATCCCAGCACTATGGGAGGCCGAGGCGAGTGGATCACGAGGTCAAGAGATCAAAACCATCCTGGTCAACAGATCAAGACCATCCTGGTCAACATGGTGAAACTCCATCAACACTAAAAATCCAAAAAAATTAGCTAGGAGTGGTGGCACAGAGGCTGAGGCAGGAGAATTGCTTGAACCCAGGAGGCAGAGGTTGCGGTGAGCTGAGATTGTGCCATTGTACTCCAGCCTGGGTAACAAGAGAGAAACTCCGTCTCAAAAAAAAAATACATATATATATATATATACATACACACACACACACACACACACACACACACACACACACACATATATATATATATATACATATATATAAAACACTATAGCATAGGAGTGATGGAGCTCCCATTAGTGGTTGCCAAGGGAATGGATGTAAATATTCAGGGAGAACATACAGAGCAGCAAGACAACTGAGGATCCAGCCTTAGAGAATGCCGTTATTTAAAGGGCAGATGAAAGAAGAGGAGCCAGCTGAGATTAAAATCAACTGAAATAGATGCAGGACAAGGAAAAGCAAAAGTAGGAATAATGTGATTTGGCTAAAGCAAAGAATCCAGACTCTTAAAGCAGACTAAGAAGTTAGAAATTAATTTTGTGGCCAAAGATTTTCAAACACTGGAGGTCTGGAAGGCTCATACTCCAATTCTCCCCATTTGCCCCCAATCCCAGGTGCTCCCATTCACTGCAGGGTAGTTTGACAATGTGTACCCCACAGATTTGGGGGTAAAGATAGTCATGGAGAGTTTCTGAATGGGAATTAACATGAATAGTGGTGGCATTAGGAAGACTCATCAGAAACCCATGTATAGGATTAATTCGATAAAAATCTAGATTTTCCTAGCAACTAAGGAACCAATTTCAAAGACGGAAATGAGAATCTGAATTAAGATGTGGCAGTTAGCATGAAAAAAAGCAGCTTCAACAAGACTTTGCCAGCCTGAGGCGTTGGCTAGGCTTTTTTGCAGGAATTGAGACCCTTTGGGGAGTTTTGGGGGCGTAGGGTCAGTGACAGGGAGGCAGTGGTCTAATGAAGGATTAACTTGGCAATAGTAGTTAGGATTAAATGGCAGGTAAGATAGGAGACAGAAACAACCAAATTATTGTGGGTGCACAGGTGTAAAGTGATGAGAATTTGAAATAAAGTTTAGCAGTAGGCATTCCTTAGTGACATTCTACTGTATTTTCCAGAATGGTACTTCCAGTTTCCGACTGACTCAATTTCTGGTCACCTAGTTGGAAGACATGCCTGGGCATGTCAGGAAAATTTAGGTCAAGATTCCCCAGCAAGCACTTATGATGTCCCAATCTAAACTGGCATCATACATGGCTCTTACCTCTCATTCAGCCCCAATTCCACCACTTCTGTGTCTTTGCCTTTATGTCTCTTTTACTACTGTAAAATACCTGCATGTTGTCATAGTCATATGCTATTTCTTTTTTTTTTTTTTTTTTTTGAGACGGAGTTTCGCTCTTGTTGCCCAGGCTGGAGTGCAATGGCACGATCTGGGCTCACCGCAACCTCCGCCTCCTGGGTTCAGGCAATTCTCCTGCCTCAGCCTCCTGAGTAGCTGGGATTACAGGCACACGCCACCATGCCCAGCTAATTTTTTGTATTTTTAGTAGAGACGGGGTTTCACCATGTTGACCAGGATGGTCTCGATCTCTTGACCTCGTGATCCACCCGCCTCGGCCTCCCAAAGTGCTGGGATTACAGGCTTGAGCCACCGCGCCCGGCCGTCATATGCTATTTCTAAGTATCATTTTCATTATTACATTCTCACAAAATCTGACAAAACCAATGGGATGCCGGCCCAGGTGCAAGAACTTGGTTTTAAATTCAGCTCCTCTACTGAATCCTGGGCATGCCATTTAGTGTTTTTTTTGGCCTAAACTTTATCTTGAAAATAGACTGCAAATTAAGATTAGCAATAGTTAACTCTGAGAAATTGACAAATAGATTCGCATCTGCACAAAATCTACACACCACTTAGGGAGATTTATAAAGCCACTTCTAGCCTATTTATGGACACTTTAAGATAGTAGGGTTGGGCCAGGTGCAGTGGCTCAAGCCTGTAATCCCAGCACTTTGGGAGGCGGAGGCGGGTGGATCACGAGGTCAAGAGATCGAGACCATCCTGGTCAACATGGTGAAACCCCGTCTCTACTAAAAATACAAAAAAGTAGCTGGGCATGGTGGCACATGCCTGTAATCCCAGCTACTCAGGAGGCTGAGGCAGGAGAATTGCCTGAACCCAGGAGGTGGAGGTTGCGGTGAGCCGAGATCGCGCCATTGCACTCCAGCCTGGGTAACAAGAGCGAAACTCCGTCTCAAAAAAAAAAAAAAAAAAAAAGACAGTAGGGTTTTGTTTGTTCGTTTTAATATGTATACCAGGATCACCTAAAGTACTTGTTAAAAATGCAGATCTCAAGAGATTTTGATTCACTATGTTTGGGGTGTGGGTCCAGCAATTCACATTTTTTACGAAATACTCCAAGTGACTCTGATGCAGGCATCCTATTATGCACTCTGGCATCTAGAAAAACAAAGTGCTTAAGGCATCCTAGCATCTCAAGTTAAAAACTTTTGGATCAGCTGCTCACTGAAATTCATTCTGAATCTAAAATTCTGTCTGTCTGGGTCTGTAGCACTGAGATACGAGTAATAACTAACACTTAACTTCTAGGCGTTAAGGCTGAATCACTGCTGGTGCCATTAGCACAAACAGCAGTCTCAATTTTCCCCTTTGAGTGGAGAAGTTGATAATAAATGCATTTATTTCAAAACAGGAAGAAAAAGTTTGAGGGATATTTACAGTTTAATTAGTTACTAAATGCTTACAAAAATCAAGTCAAATAAAATAAAATCCCAAACCTGGAATCTACAACTTTCTAAAGAAATGTAGGGCCAAGCATGACTCTCTTGGGATGGAAACGTTCGTTTCCTCCAAATCTTCACAGTATTAAATCAAAGATACCACACACAGAAACCGGTTTCAGTAGTGTAAAAAGCACTTCTCTTGTTCACAAACGGCTTAGAAGTATTTCCAAAATGACAGTATTCGAAAATTACACAGCAACAGTTTAAATTACCATACAATCTTACAGTCTAACAAATCCTGGTTTATTTACTTTACGCACTTTTATCAGCATAAGATCTGTGGAGGGGACGAACAACTTGGGCTTACCAAGCACCGACAACTCTCGTGGCACTTTGCATAAAGCATTTTTTTAATCCTCTGTGAAGTATCACTTCCACTGTATAAAGGAAGAAAGTGACACCCCAAAGATTCAGCTAGTTAAGGAGCCGGGCCTGAGCAAAACTGGCCTCCTACCCCGATTTTTTCACTGGGAGGAGGTCACGAGGACTTCGTGTCCCCTTCTGCCCATCTTCACCCCATCCACCTGTGTCAATTTCCACAGCGTTCTCCAACTCCTTGTCACCATCTCGAACGGTGTGCACCTCTCCGGCACGGCCGCCAGTCGTCGTTCCTTGCCTCAGTTTCCCTGGCCAGGGCTCCACAACAGGAAAGGACGGTGGGAGGGCGTGAAGCGGCTGCACGCAGGGGCGAGCCCCGCCCCGGCCTGAGGCCTCCGAGCGTCGTCCTTGGCTGGCTCTGGGGCAGAGCGGCGGAGCGAGACCCAAGCCCAAAGCGGGCTCCTGCCTCCGCCCTCCCGGGCACGGCCTCCCCGGCGCTCGCAACGACGAAGCCAGGCTGCGGCCAGGGCTGGCGGAGAGGCCTGTTCTGACCGCAGCGAATCACATGGCCCACAGCGGTCTGCGACTTCCAATCTAACGCGCGGGCGTGACCGCGCAACGGGGGAGGGAGCGACAGCGATATTTACCTCATCCTGATCCAGCCGGGCCGCTTCCGGCCTTTCCGAGTCGCCCATCGCGCAGACTCTGCCGAAGCTACGGGCGCCGAGGGAAGTGAGCTCCGCAGGCCACCTCCAACTACGACAGGACCCGGAGGCCCGCTCGTCCGCTGGGTCCGCCCAGCCCCCAGCTCCAGGGACCGGGTCGGCCCGCCCCGGCCCCGCTGTGTCGCCTGCCCACGGAGGGACTCTCCCTGCGCCGACCCGACCCGCCTCCCCGCCTCGGGACTCCGCCTACCTCAGCCGGCCCCGCCTCCCCGTCTGCGACCCACGGGATTCTCCCTGCTTCGGCCAGCCCCGGCTCCCTCGCCTCGGGGCTCCGCCTACCTCAGCCAGCCCTGCCTCCCCTCCAGCGGCCAAAGGGATGCTCCCCGCCTCGGCGGCCCCGCCTTCCCCGCCTCGAAGCTCCGCCCACCTCGGCCAGCCCCCGCTTACCCCGCCTACTGCCTAAGGAAATCTCTCTGCCTCCGCCGGTGCCGCCTTACGCTACTGCACGGCCCAGTCACTCGCCCGCTTTTTCACTGGGGGGCGCCCACTGCTCTGCAAGGCCCCGCCTACTCCAGCTAGCCCCACCTCGCCGCGTCAGCCCCGCCTCCCGCCTGCCCACCGAGGGGTTCTTCGGGCGCCTCCGGGCCCCGCCTCCTCCGCTCGCCCTCTCCAAGCGCCCGCCCCTGAGGAGCACGACCTGGGCCAGCTCGGCCCCGCCTTCCCGCCAGCGCTGTGAGGGAGTCGGCCCGCGGCCCACCCCGCGCGCCCCACCTCGCCTCGGCCTCCTCGGCTCCAGTCCCCTGGTGCGGGAGGCGTCCTGCAGGCCGGCTCGAGATTCCCCAGCTCGCCCTCGTGGGGCCTCAAGAACACTGTACTTCGAGTTAGGCCGGCCTGTCCTGAGAGCCCGCGGGAGGCGAAGGGAGCGCACCGTTGCTGTGGGAAGCGCCGGGACGCCGCAGCCTCACCGCCGGACGCTGCGCGAGGGTTTCGTGTGTAAGCAACCCAGCAGGGAGCGTGGCGGGGGGTGGAGTGTGTACGTGTGTGAATGCGGGCGAGGGAGAGGGGCACGTTACCCACGTCAGGAAAGTATTTGGAAACCTCCGTGAAAACCGCCGTGCCGTTGTTTCAGCACTTTTCCGTGATACTGATTGGTGCTCATCCTCCTGAGGGCCGGGCACTGTGGAAGGTGAGGGAAGTCACCTTGTGGAAATGAACGAATTGAATCCCCGGGTGGACGCAGCGACTCTCCTCGCAGGGCGGGTGAGGGACCGAGCCAGGCCGTCAGGTGATCCCGCTCCCAAGTCGCAGCCTCCAGGGTCTCCGGCCATGACCGTCCTCTGCGTCACGCCATGGCAGCCGACAGTGACTACTGGTGGTGGCAGTACTTGGGTTCACTTAGTAATGCCCGTCTCGCGGGGGGACTAGCTAAAGGAAACTACCACAGGAAGAAAGAGAGAATAGTTGAGTCTAACAAAAGCAAAGTGGAAGAGAGGTTTGTGGAAGGAGCTTGAAGCTGACAGATTGACCCGACTTGTTACGACCCAGACAGCACGCACCTGTTTTGTGGCTGGCTGAAGGATGGTAATGGGCTCAAGGTCTCACTTGACGCGTTGAAAACGCCGAAAGCTCTTTCTGAAACCTGCCCATAGAGTGGGGATAGAGAGTCTTGACTTTAAGAAAGACTCTCTAGGGGTCAAATGCTGAGTGAAACTTTTTTCATCTGTGAACTTTAATAGCCACATAAGTTCTGCGAGGCCATGGAGTCTCGATTTACTATAGGCCACGTGGCAAATAATCAGCAAATTCATTTAAAGTCATCAAACAGTAATTGTGTTTCGGGCATCATGGTCCCTCACTTATTAGCTATGCTACCTTGGGCCACTTCTCTGAGACTCAGCTTTCTCATAAACAGGATAAGAACAATAATCCCTTCCTCCTAAGGTTGTGCCAATTTGATAATATATTACTTGTACAACACTGGGGCGAGAAGTTACCTTGATACAATGGTAGCTTCCAAGTACATTACGAGGCAGGCCATCCCAGAGGGTCAAGGAACTCAGATGGTTGAGTTCAAAAGGCTCAGATCAAATTGAGATGCCTAGAGTCACAGTTTACTAAATCAATTTATTTTCATTTTAAATAAGTTTATTTTAAACAAGACATTTGACTTGAAAACTAGGATTTTTTAAGAATAATGTATCACTGCTGAAAGATTGCCTTACATGTAACAGCTATGTACAAAATTTACAAAATTGCCCTTGGGTAGAATAAAGTAACAGGCTCCTTTTTTAGTCAAGATGTCCTGTCCTTGGACCACATGGTATCTTTAGCCTCCATCTCCAACTTTACAGGTGTGTCTATTTCATTGATTGGTTGCCCTTAGATCTAGAAACTCAGCCTCATTGCCAAACCCTGTTCACAATAAGCTTTCATTAATTTACTAAGTGGTATATATCTTCTTTTTTTCTTTGAGACAGTCTCATTCTGTTGCTCAGGCTGGAGTGCAGTGGCTGGATTTTGGCTCACTATAGCCTCTGCCTCCTGGGTTCAAGTGATTCTCCTGTCTCAGCCGCCCAAGTAGCTAGGATTACAGGCACCTGCCACCACACCTGGCTAACTTTTGTATTTTTTAGTAGAGATGGGGTTTCACCATGTTGACTAGGCTGATCTCAAACTCCTGACCTCAGGTGATCCGCCCACCTTGGCCTCCCAAAGTGCTGGGACTACAGGTGTGAGCCACACTGCACTCGGCTGGAATATGCCTTTTAATCTTAAACTGCACCACAGACTCATCCTCCCCTGCGTCCTTCAAATTAATACGATAGTTGTTCTCAATCTTGTCTCCTTCCTTGGGCTATCAACCAGAGTCTTCTTAGCTGCCACTTCACAAAATGGGTACTAGTTCTGTGCCAAACAAGCACACAAGCTGTATCCTATTGGATCATTTTAAAACATTACCACAAGGGGAAAGAGATGGAGTAAACTAACATATTTTGGGTAGGATGTGGGGAGGAGAGAGAGTGGAAGGATTATACCATTTGAACCTTAATGTTACTGTTCATGTATTATTTGATGCATCAACCTTCCCTGCCAGTGGTGTAGTTATGAGGACTGTAGTGAGGATGAGCAAGGGTGGTCACCATACTCTTTTCTTTTGGAGAACTGCAGGAACCTAACCCCAGCTATAACTTGCCATAAATTAACTGCTGAGCAGCTACGGATATTATCTGTGTTTCTTGGACAGAGCACATGTGGGGCCAGAATGGATCTCACCAGTGAGTGGCTGATTTAGTGATAATGTAGTTGTCAGTCTGGCAGTAACAACATCATTACCTTATAAATATTTAAGATTTACTTGGGGCCAGGCACGGTGGCTCATGCCTGTAATCCCAGCACTTTGGGAGGATGAGGCTGGTGGGTCACCTAAAGCCAGGAGTTTGAGACTAGCCTAACCAACATAGCAAAACCCCATCTCTACTGAAAATACAAAAATAAGCAGGCCGTGGTGGTACATGCCTGTAATCCCAGCTTCTTGAGAGGCGGAGGCAGGAGAATCCCTTGAATCAGGCAGGTGGAGGTTGCAGTGAGCTAAGATTGCGCCATTGCACTCCAGCCTTGACAAGAACAAAGCTCTATCTAAAAAAAAAAAAAAAAAAAGTGCTTGGCTTTATAATTATAAATAAAACACATTACAATTCTTCAACTGAAGGAGATATGCAAAAACTTTAATGTTGTTTTGTTTTGTGTGTGCGGTTTTTTTTGGTGGGGGGTGGAGGGTTAAAACGGAGCAAAGTAGCTTACTAGAATATAAAGATAAGACCTGAATGAGCATGCCACTAATGGAGAAAGGAGTCTTTTCACAGAACCATATTTTCTCCCCCATCCTATCTTCATCTGGTGTGGATCAAAAGAAACCATTGGCCATTTGGTTAAAAAATCCAATACGCTGAGCCGGGCATGGTGGCTCACGCCTGTAATCCTAGCACTTTGGGAGGCCGGGCAGGTGGATCACGAGGTCAAGAGATCGAGACCATCCTGGTCAACATGGTGAAACCCCGTCTCTACTAAAAATACAAAAAATTAGCTGGGCATGGTGATGCGTGCCTGTAATCCCAACTAGTCAGGAGGCTGAGGCAGGAGAATTGCCTGAACCCAGGAGGCAGAGGTTGTGGTGAGCCGAGATCATGCTATAGCACTCCAGCCTGGGTAACAAGAGAGAAACTCCATCTCAAAAAAAAATAATAATAAAATAAAATCCAATACACTTATATGCATTATAACTATGGCATATACAATATGCCATAAAGACTGTATGAAGATGTAGAATCCTGTTACTCCTAGAAATCTTACAGTTACACATTTAATTTTATACAGTTACATTGTGACTAATATAGGTGCTTTACATACAATAAAGTAATAAGAGGAAAATGAAAGGACAGAGGAAACTACTGTAGTAGTCAGGGTATGGTGGAACCAAATTGCAGTTTTCTAATTGAAAATGCATTCTTGGTCCTTAAGAACAGAGTTCTGAGATAAAGTAGCACTCTTTTTTTTAGTCAAGACCTCCTGTCGTTGGAACACCTTAATTGTATCTTTAGCCTCCCAACTTTACAGGTGTGTCTTATTTCATTGATTGATTGCCCATCAAATCTAGAATCTTAGCCTCATTGCACATCTGTTCACAATAGGTTTTCATTGTACTAAGTGGTATATGTTTTTTTTTGTTTTTTCCTCTTGAGACAGAGTTTCGCTCTTGTTACCCAGGCTGGAGTGCAATGGCACGATCTCGGCTCACCACAACCTCCGCCTCCTGGGTTCAGGCAATTCTCCTGCCTCAGCTTCCTGAATAGCTGGGATTACAGGCATGCACCACCATGCCCAGCTAAGTTTTTGTATTTTTAGTAGAGACGGGGTTTCACTATGTTGACCAGGATGGTCTTGATCTCTTGACCTTGTGATCCACCCACCTCAGCCTCTCAAAGTCCTAGGATTACAGGCGGGAGCCACCACGCCCAGCCCTGTTTTGTTGTTTTTTTTTTTTTTTGACTGAGTCCCGCTCTGTTGCTCAGGCTGGAGTGTAGTGTTGTGATCTCGGCTCACTGCAGCCTCCACCTCCTGGGTTCAAGCAATTCTCCTGCCTCAGCCTCCCAAGTAGCTGGGATTACAAGCGGCTGCCACCACACCTGGCTAATTTTTGTATTTTTTAATAGAGATGGGGTTTCACCATGTTGGCCAGGCGTGACTTGAACTCCTGACCTCAGGTGATCCACCCACCTCAGCCTCCCGAAGTGTTGGAATTACAGGTGTGAGCCAATGCGCCCAGCTGGAATATGCTTTTTAATCTTAAACTACACCACTGACCCATCCTGCCCTGCCACCTTCAAATTAATACGATTGTTCTCAATCTTGCCTCCTTCCTTGGGCTTTCTGTCAACCAGAGTTGTCTTAGCTGCCACTTCACAAAATGAGTACCAGTTCTGTGCCAAACAAGCACACAAGCTATATTCTATTAAATCATTTTAAAAGGTAACTGGAAGGGGAAAGAAATGGAGTGAACTAACATATTTTGGGTAGGATGTGGGGAGGGGAGAGTGTGGAAGGATTATACCATCTGAATTTAAATGTTACTGTTGATGTATTGTTTGATGTATCAGCTGTCCTCACCGGTGGTGTAGTTACAAGGACCATAGTGAGGATGAGCAAGAGTGCTCAGCAGATAGAAGGTGTAGTCAGCACACACTTTTCTTTTGGAGAACTGCAGGAACCTGACCCCAGCTATAATTTGCCATAAATTAACTGCTGAGCAGCTATGAATATTATCTGTGTTTCTTGGACAGAGCACATGTGGGGCCAGAATGGATTTCACCAGTGAGTGGCTGATTTAGGGTTAACATAGTTGACAGTCTGGTGGTAACCTGATCATTACCTTATGAATATTTAAGATTTACTTGGAGCCAGGTGTGGTGGCTCATGCCTGTAATCCCAGCTTTTTGAGAGGCCAAGGCTAGCAGATCACCTGAGGTCAGGAGTTCAAGACTACCCTGACCAACATGGAGAAACCCTGTCTCTACTAAAAATACAAAATTAGCCAGGCGTGGTGGTGCAGTAGCCTGTAATCCCATCTACTCAGGAGGCTAAGGCAGGAGAATTACTTGAACCCAGGAGGCAGAGGTTGTGGTGAGCCAAGGTTGCACCATTGCACTCCAGCATGGGCAACAAGAGAAAAACTCTGTCTCAAAAAAAAAAAAAAAAAGATTTACTTGGTTCTTCCAGACCTTTTAATCTAAAAATGAAACTCTCATGTGTTCCATTATTTTTGTGTGTGTTCAATACATATATGTTCCATTCATCCTTTTTTTTATTATACTTTAAGTTCTGGGGTACATGTGCAGAAGGTGCAGGTTTGTTACATAGTTATACATGTACCATGGTGATTTGCTGCATCCATCACCCCGTCATCTACATTAGGTATTTCTCCTAATGCTATCCCTCCCCTAGCCCTCCACCCTCCAACAGGCCCTGGTGTGTGATGTTCCCCTCCCTGTGTCCATGTGTTCTCATTGTTCAACTCTCATTTGTGAGAACATGCAGTGTTTGGTTTTCTGTTCTTGTGTCAGTTTGCTGAGAATGATGGTTTCCAGCTTCATCCATGTCCCTGCAAAGGACATGAGCTCATCCTTTTTTATGGCTGCAAAGTATTCCATGGTGTATATGTGACACATTTTCTTTATCCAGTCTATCACTGATGGGCATTTGGGTTGGTTCCATATCTTTGCTGTTGTAAACAGTGCTGCAATGAACATACATGTGCATGTGTCTTTATAATAGAACGATGTATAATCCTTTGGGTATATACCCAGTAATGAGATTGCTGGGTCAAATGGAATTTCTGTTTCTAGGTCCTTGAGGAATCGCCACACTGTCTTCCACAATGGTTGAACTAATTTACACTCCCACCAACAAAGTAAGTGTTCCTATTTCCCCACATCCTCTCCAGCATCTGTTGTCTCTTGATTTTTAATGATCACCATTTTAACTGGTGTAGGATGGTATCTCATTATGATTTTGATTTGCATTTCTCTAATGACCAGTGATGATGAGGATTTTTTTCATGTTTGTTGGCTGCATAAATGTCTCCTAATGAGAAGTGTTCGTTCATAGCCCTAGCCCACTTTTTGATGGGGTTATTTTTTTCTTGTAAATTTGTTTAAGTTCTTTGTAGATTCTGGATATTAGCCATTTGTCAGCTGCATAGATGGTAACAATTCTCTCCCATTTTGTAGGTTTCCTGTTCAGTCTAATGATAGTTTCTTTTGCTGTGCAGAAGCTCTTTAGTTTAATTAAATCCCATTTGTCTATTTTCGCTTTTGTTGTCATTGCTTGTGGTGGTTTAGTCATGAAGTTCTTGCCCATGTCTATCTCCTGAATGGTATTGCCTAGGTTTTCTTCTAGGGTTGTTACAATTTTAGGTCTTACATTTAAATCTTTAATCTGTCTTAATTTTTGTATAAGGTGTAAGGCAGGGATCCAGTTTCAGCTTTCTGCATATGGCTAGCCAGTTTTCCCAACACCATTTATTAAATAGGGAATCCTTTCCCCATTGCTTGTTTTTGTCAGGTTTGTCAAAGATCAGATGGTTGTAGATGTGTGGTGTTATTTCTGAGGCCTCTGTTCTCTTCCATTGGTCTATATATCTGTTTTGTTACCAGTACCATGCTGTTTGATTACTGTAGCCTTGTAGCATAGTTTGAAGGCAGGTGGCATGATGCCTCTAGCTTTGGTTTTTTTGTTTTTGTTTTTTCTTAGGATTGTCTTAGCTATGCAGGCTCTTTTTTGGTTTTATATGAAATTTAAGGTGTTTTTTTCCAGTTCTGTGAAGAAAGTCAGTGGTAGCTTGATAGGGACAGCATTGAATCTATACATTACTTTGGGCAATATGGCCATTTTGATGATATAGATTCTTCCTAACCATGAGCATGGAATGTTTTTCCATCTCTTTGTGTTCTCTCTTATTTCCTTGAGCAGTGGTTTGTAATTTTCCTTGAAGAGGTCTTTCACATCCCTTGTTAGTTATATTCCTAGGTATTTTATTCTCTTTGTGGCAGTTGTGAATGGGAGTTCACTCATGATTTGGCTCTTTGTCCATTATTGGTGTATAGAAATGCCTGTGATTTTTGCACATTGATTTTGTATCCTAAGACTTTGCTAAAGTTGTTTATCAGCTTAAGGAGATTTGGGGCTTAGACGATGGCATCTCTAAATTAAACACGTCATCTGCAAATAGAGACAATTTGACTTCCTCTTTTCTTAATTAAATTCCCTTTATTTCTTTTTCTTGCCTGATTCCCTGGCCAGAACTTCCAATACTATGTTGAATACATTCATCCTATTTTTAACATGCCTCACAGCATAATTATTTACTATTTATACTTCATACACCTTACAAATTTCATTATGTCTAATGAGCTATTTGCTCCCATACTTAGTTTCTCTCAATTTCTATGGCAGAATTGAATATTCTTAAATAACATAGCAAAAGCACATCACAGTACTTAGAATAGTATAGGCAGTATGAGTTTCCCCCAGGATATTCAAAGTTATTGGGAGAGCAAATAAAAAAATTAAATGTGTAACTGAAAGGGCTCAAGGAGTAGGAGGATTCTACATCTTCATGTGGCCTTTATGGCAAATTGTATTTTCCAAAAATGGCCACAGCAGTATTTCTGGTATCATATGCTGTTCCAGAACTTGGATACACCTCCCACTAGAAGGTGGCATCTAATGCACTTCCCTTTGCATATGGGCCATCGATACTACTAACAAGTAGGATACAGTCAGGTGCCAGATAACAGTTTGGTCAATGATGGACTCCATATATGGCAGTGCTCCTATAAGATAATAATGAAGCTGAAAAGTTCCTATCACCTAGTGACATTATAGTCGTAGCACAATGCATTACTCATGTTTGTGGTGATGCCACTGTAAACAAATCTGTGTTGCCAGTGTATTAAGTATAGCTCATATAATTATGTACAATACATAATATTTGATAGTGATAATCTATATTACTGGTTTATTTAGTACAGTTATCACTATTTTAGTGTATACTCCTACTTACATATATATATTTAGAAATTGGTAACTGTAAAATAGCTTTAGGCAGGTCCTTCAGGAAGCATTCCAGAAGAAGGCATGGCAATTAGAGGAAATGACAGCTTCATGTACTTATTGCCCTGGAGATGCTCCAGTGGGACAAGGTGTGGAGGTGGAAAACAGTAATATTGATGATCCTGACCCTGTGTAGGCACAGACTAATGTGTGTGTGTCTTAGTTTAAACAAAACAGTTTAAAAAGTAAATTATTTTTCAAAATAGAAGAGTTTATAGAATAAGGATATGAAGAAATTTTGTGCAGCTATACACTGTTTTAAGCTGTTATTACAAAAGTCAAAAAAAACTTAAAAAATTAAAGAGTTTGTAAAAAAGTTACAGTAAGGCGAGGTTAATTTATTGAAGAAAGAAAAATATTTTAATGTTTCATGTAGCCTAAGCATACAGTATTTATAACATCTACAGGAGTGTGCAGTAATACTCTAAACCTTTACATTCAATCACTGACTCACTTAAAGCAACTTCCAGTCCTGCAATCTCCATTCATAGTAAGTGCCCTTGTTATACAAGTGTGCCTTTTTTTAACTCTTTATATCTTTTTTTTTTTTTGAGACGGAGTTTCGCTCTTGTTACCCAGGCTGGAGCGCAATGGCGCAATCTCGGCTCACCGCCACCTCCGCCTCCTGGGTTCAGGCAATTTCTCCTGCCTCAGCCTCCTGAGTAGCTGGGATTACAGGCACACGCCACCATGCCCAGCTAATTTTTTGTATTTTTAGTAGAGACGGGGTTTCACCATGTTGACCAGGATGGTCTCGATCTCTTGACCTGGTGATCCACCCGCCTCGGCCTCCCAAAGTGCTGGGATTACAGGCGTGAGCCATTGCGCCCGGCCTATATCATATTTTTAGTGTACCTTTCTGTGCTTAGATACACAAATACTCTTGTGTTACAATTGCCTACAATATTCAGTACAGTAACATGCTGTACAAAATTGTAACCTTGGAGCAGTAGGCTATACCATATACCCAGCCTAGATGTGTAGTAGGCAGTACCATCTAGGTTTGTGTAAATAGACCCTACAGTGTTTGCACAACAGTGAAGTCATTTAACAAAAACTGGCTCATACAGACTACATGGGAAGCCCACGTGGAAAGCAGCTGAAGCACCAGCCAATAGCTGACATCAGCCTCCAGATGTGTGAATGAATGAGCCTTCAGAGGAATCCACCTCCTAGCTGTCATACCTTCCAATTGAAACCCCCAGACATTATGCAGCAGGAAAAACACCATCTTGTGTTCTGTCCAAATTCTAACCCACAGAATCCATGAGCATAACAAATGGTTGTTATAAGCCACCAATTTTGGGATAATTTGTTATGCAGCCATAGTAGACAGTCCAGCATCCATTCCACTTAGATTTGTGTGGTGATCACCTAAGAAGACAAGCTAGCCTTTTGTATAGAAAATATGTAATTTCAAGCTACTGCTGTCTTACAGTATGTAATTCACTGAAAAAAATCCTCATTTCTCAAACTTAATGTCTCAACCCCCTCCGCGCTTTTTTTTTTTTTTTTTTTTTTTTTGAGACAGAGTTTCAACTCGGTCGCCCAGACTGGAGTGCAGTGGCATCATCTCAGCTCACTGCAGTCTCCGCCTCCCAGGTTCAAGGAGTTCTGTCTCAGCCTCCTCTCCTGAGTAGCTGAAACTACAGGCACATGCCACCTTGTATAGCTAATTTTTGTATTTTTGTAGAGGTGGTGTTTTACCATGTTGGCCAGGCTGGTCTCAAATCCCTGACCTCAAGTGATCCGCCTGCCTCAGACTCCCAAAGTGCTGAAATTACAAGTGTGAGCCACCATGGCTTTTAAATAAAAAAACTTTCACAGCCACTGTATTGTTACTTAAGTATGTACAAACCTAAGACCAGTAATAAACTCCTTATTCTTGGAGCTTTACACAATTAAAAGTAGATTTGTAAATTAAATACAAGAGTATAGAAATGGTAAAATTCCATTTTACAACCAAAAGCAATGGATGATGATGATGTTTTGCTGAAATTATATTGCATAAGTGTGAATTTTACAGTGACCATTAATGAAGTATGTTCTTTTGCATTCTAGCCACGGGATAGATAATTTTTTCTACAACTCTTTTTATCAGTTGCCTTTCATAAGGAACAAATGTGTCATTTACATATTCCACTCTAAATTTTTTCTATTGCTTGACATCAGTGCCATCATAAATGGTCAACCAGGTAATTCAAGATGCTGCATGTATATAAAGAATCAAAATAAGATGCTTGTGGAAAGTTGGTAGATCTGGAACCCTAGTTTGAAAACTGCTAAACAGGTCTATATTTAATGAGTCATTCATTTATAATTCAGGAGACTCCAGTGTGAAGGAACGTGAAAATGTTGGAGGTAGATTAGCTTAGAGCTAATTGGAATAGGCCAAGTGCAGGATAAAGCAAGCTTGAAATAAGGCAGTGGTACTGGAAAATGCAAGAAGAATGCATGCGAGTTAAGTAAATGTACTCAAGATGACTTGATCAGTGGTTGGAGCTGGAGTATAGGGTAAAGGGAGGAGTCTAGGATGACAAGTTTCTAATCCAGAGACTAGGCAGTTAGCAGCTCCTTTTGCCAATGAAGTCTTAGTAGGAAAACAATGAGTTGTTTTGGGCATGTCAAGATCATGATTCTCATGAGATCCAACTGGGGGTTTCTAGTAATGTGGTCCAGAAGTGACTGGCTTGGCCATAGATCTGATCCAGCTCTGACAACCTGAAAGCCATACTTAGCAACCCTTCAAATGAATAATAAATAAAGCAGTTTTTGCAAAAGAATCAGCAAGCAATACAGATTTTAAAAAAATATTTCAAGTGCAGTACAAAGAACATTTCCCACAACTATTTCAGAATAAGTTGCTAATATGTATAGGCTAAATGCAGAAGAAAAGAAAGGACACAACTTTCTTTTACCGATTATAAGTGTTAGCACTGGAAGGACAGTAGTTTTGGGTCATAGAGTTGGATAATAGGACAACATTTCAAAGATGCAGAGTTCCAGTGAGATAAAATCAACAGGTTACAACAGTATGTTCCTAAATTGTATTGAAGTTGGTCATTTGATCCTTTCAACATTCCACTGGGCACTGGAGAGGAAAAGGTAATTGAGACACAGTTTTTACGCTTAAGGAACTTATAGAGAAGGGGAAATCGAGCAGATACATTGTTCAGAGGAGTACAAAGAAAGGGTAAAACAGTTTTGTCAAGGTGGAGGGCAGGTCAAGGAGAGCACCTCAAAGAGGTGGGTAAACCGGATTCTGAATTATTAATAGGAACCAACCATTCCAAGAGGGGCCATAGAGAGTGGGCAGTAAGGTCAGAGGGAGCAGTATTTATACAGGCTTCAAGGTGACAGAGGTCATAACCCACCAAGGGACTGCAAGTCTTTCAGTATAACAAGGTAGCAGGTAAAGATAAGGCGGTAAAGCAGGATTCCAATCATGAAGGGCCTTGTTGAGTTTGAACTTAATCTTACATGGCCATCGGTGGAAAGTCAGTGTATTTTAAAAAGGTGAGTAAAATGGTTAATATGCATTTTAGGAATTGTTGTGCCTCGACATATTAAAAAGAACAAAACAAACAGAAGAAACCAGTTTGTAAGCTGTTGATATAATGTAGGTAAAAGGTGGTGACAGAGTTAGGTCATGACAGTGAATATGGAGAGAAGTAAATGAACTCAAGAGTTCAGTATTTAACTACAGGGCTTGGTAGTGAATAAGAATGTAGGGGTAAAGAAGAAATTGAATGATTACGTTTCTGACATGGTAACTAGATAACTTACTGATTCATAAATGAGTTTTGATGAGGCACTCTTGTACACACTGGGCTTAAGAGAAGTGAACAAGGATAGAGTTTCTGATAGCCTTTGTTATTGTGGAGGGTCACTAGAAGTCAGATGATGAGCATGTAAACTAAGTTCGGATAGTACATGGATGGACCAAGGGTGGTGAGAGTTGGAGTATCTGTGAAGCATTCAGGGTAAAGTCATAGCTGTAGGAGGGCAGGCAGGGGTCCCCTTGTTACTGCAATCAACTTCTATTGGTTTAGGGCATTAGCAGTAGGAGAAAGTACAGAATGATGAAAAATTGCACAAAAACCTTAGTTCTTTATCACTTTCTTAGATCACTTAAACACTTAAGTTGCTGTACCTTAATATTGGCAACTTTCTGCCTCCCTTAAACAGGTGTCCCAAGATCTGCTTAAGTTTTATTTTAAAAATAAGAGAATATGTTGCAGTGCTTCCAAGTTCATGTGATCAAGAAAACTTACATTACTTCGCATCCAAGTCAAGGACCATAGCTTTCCTATATAGTGCTCTACTACCTCATTTATTATAGGTAATATAGTGGTTCCAGATATTTGGCATCTTTTACAAATAAATTCTTGCATTCAAAAAATATGAGTGAGGGCCAGGCACAGTGGCTCACGCCTGTAATCCCAGCACTTTGGGAGGCCGAGGCGGATCACAAGGTCACCTGTCTCTACTAGAAACACAAAAATTAACTGGACATGGTGGCAGCAGCCTGTAGTCCCAGCTACTCGGGAGGCTGAGGCAAGAGAATTGTTTGAACCTGGAGGCAGAGGTTGCAGTGAGCCAAGATTGTGCCACTGCACTCCAGCCTGGACGACAGCGAAACTCCATCTGTCTGGGGGGCGGGAAAAGAGTGCTTTGTTCAAGGCCTTGTATTTCAGGTTATGAAATTTAACATCTTAAACTTTTTCAACATCAGACATATCTTTTTAAATGCATGCTTCTCCACTTTATTCCAGAGTATATAGAACAGTTTTTAGTGGATAGCCATCCTGACCTCAAGTAAATGTTAGCCTTGAGTACTGTTTTTTTTAAATTGGGTAAGGATGCTGGCATGTCATGTAGTAGGCACATTGCAGTATTCAGACTTCTAGACCTAGTACTAACCAAATGTTTCTATATTAAATGACTTATGTTGTGCTTTTTGAATGTTTTCTAGCTTCCTTAGTCTTAATTTTACTACTCTGGTCTGTGTTTAAAGCAGAAACCTGATGATCAAAACCTCCAGGAATCAAACTCTCTCCTTTTAATCACTGTACTTGGACTTGAGTGCCTATATTTTGAGGGTATTATGATTATTTTATTTTCGCTCACTCCTCCATACCCCAACCCTTTTAATAGTTGAGGATCACTATGACTGTTTTAATGTGGGCAGAATTTTTAAGAAAACACAAATTTATATATTTGTTCCATAAAGTTACTAAAAAGTAAACATATTAAAAGTGATCATCACATAAGCCTTCCATTTCTGTAGGTAGTAGCAATGCCTGTGATTTCATTAGACAAAACTGAACATGTAAAAATGTAGTTGGCCCCCTGGGAGACTGAGGCACTTCGTTTACAGATAACTTTCTTAAGGCTAACTCAAAACACATCTAACCAGAACCATGCCATAAGCTTGCCAGAGAATGACAATGCATTTAAACATCATAAATAGCCAAATTTCATCTTCCCCATTGAAGACAGCATCTCAGGTACAAATACATGGCCTGGTAGTGTTTTTCCTGGAGATCCTACTTGTATCAGTCAGCCTGTAGCAGTGCTACAGTTTAGCTGCCAGAAGTAGCGTCTGAAAAAGTTTCAGGAAATTGAATTATTTTACTTTACCCATGAAACACGTATCTGCTCTTTTGGAGCAAGCAGCTCTTTATACTTTATGAGAAAACTTAAAAAGTTAAGCTTTTTGGCTGGGTGCGGTGGCTCACACCTGTAATCCCAGCACTTTGGGAGGCCAAGGGGGGCGGATGACGAGGTCAAGAGATCGAGACCATCCTGGCCAACATAGTGAAACCCTGTCTCTACTAAAAATAAAAAAATTAGCTGGGCATGGTGGCGCACGCCTGTAGTCCCAGCTACTCGGGAGGCTGAGGCAGGAGAATTGCTTGAACCCAGGAGGCGGAGGTTGCGGTGAGCCAAGATCACGCCATTGCACTCCAGCCTCGGTAACAAGAGCAAAATTCGGTGGCTCAAGCCTGTAATCCCAGCACTTTGGGAGGCCGAGGCGGGTGGATCACAAGGTCAGGAGATCGAGACCATCCTCGTCAACATGGTGAAACCCCGTCTCTACTAAAAATACAAAAAATTAGCTGGGCATGGTGGCGCGTGCCTGTAATCCCAGCTACTCAGGAGGCGGAGGCAGGAGAATTGCCTGAACCCAGGAGGCGGAGGTTGCGGTGAGCCGAGATCGCGCCATTGCACTCCAGCCTGGGTAACAAGAGCGAAACTCCGTCTCAAAAAAAAAGAAAAGAAAAAAAAAAAAGTTAAGCTTTTCACTTTAAGTACCATGGTTGATTTCAGACAGGTCTTCAGAGTTCACTGTTATCCTTGGGGAAAATTATGCAGGACAAAAATTTTTTTTAGAAATAATTAGCAAAAATATATGAATTATTGCCTTTTCATAACGCAGCCAGGAATTTTACTGGAATATTGATTATTCTATGACCAACTCACTTATAATCATACCTTCCACAGAACAGTATACCACTGTATGTAGTATATACAGGTTCCAGAATGCCTGGAGGTATAAATCACTTGAGCACTAACTAGATGTGTAACTTTGGGCAAGTTGTTTAACCTGTGACTCCACTTCTCTTGAGGATCATTAATAGTCTCTTTCTCATGGGGTCAAATGAGATAATACATGTGGAACACTCAACAACATGTGGCCAGGCACAGTAGCTTATGCTTGTCATCCCAGCACTTTGGGAGGACGAGGCGGGTGGATCACGAGGTCAGGAGATTGAGACCATCCTGGTCATCCTGGGCTAACACGGTGAAACGCTGTCTCTAAAAACACAAAAAATTAGCCGGGCGTGGTGGCACGCACCTGTAGTTCCAGCTACTCCAGAGGCTGAGGCAGGAGAACTGCTTGAATCCAGAAGGCAGAGGTTGCAGTGAGCCAAGATCGTGCCACCGCACTCCCCAGCCTGGGCGACAGAGTGAGACTCTTTCTCAAAAAAAAAAAAAAAAAAAAAAGTATGGCACACAGTAAGTACTATAATAACGGTAATTTAGAGAAACTTCATTTTCACAGTCAAGTGTTTTTTGAATTTTAAGAGGTAAGAAGATATTTTGCTTAATCCAAGATACCTTGAGGTAAATTTAAAAGCCACATTTTAAATATATTTCTATTGTTTTTCATACAGATATCACTTCTGTGGTTATCAAATGGTTTCGAATCTATGTTCATGCCTACTTACATAGATTGATGTAAAAAGTAAAAATGTTTTCATTCACTATTGAAGGCACTTCCAACCAGCCCCTTATCAGGAGGAAGAATCCAATCCAGGACTAGTTTATCAATAGATGTACTTTTTCATAGGTTGTAAGTAGGAAAGGTTTGGCTCTCAGGAGCTTTCAACAGGGCATTTATATTTGTAAATAAAAAGGAATGTTCTTTGGGCAGTGTTTCAGAATCACCTGGGATGATCTGAATGAAGATTTGTGGCCTCTACCAAAGACTGAAGCAGAAAGGGAGCAAGAAGATGAGGAATGCTTAAGAAACTGCATTCACAAACTCTACATCTGAATTTTACAACATACAGAAGCATGGGAACTACTGCCTCAGGTAGGTGTCTCAACCTGAGTTTAAACATAGGATTTGATGACTTCCTTTAACATATAAAATATTATCTTTATGGGAGGGATGTTATTTGAGGGCAGCTACTAAATAGTCAAATCATTCTTTTAAAATACCCTCCCACGTCTGCCCCAGTTATCCATTACACTGTATAGTCTCGTATTCAGATGATTTAGGGGGAAAAAATGGTAGCAGCAAACTCTGAAAACACTCAGTAAAGTTCATTCTTGGTCTTCTCTTCCTAAATTTGTATTCAATTGTTAAGTTTAAACACTAAACAAGACCAAAAGAGAACTTTATTTTACATGTCTTTATTTTACATTTAGAACCGTTTTATGATTTACTTAAAAAAAAAATCTTTTAATATTACTAAAGTTTTTTTAAACCAAAATCTTGATTTAGGAAGACTTAAGACATTGTGCATTATTTTAAATATTTTCATTATTTCAGTAACTATTAAAAATAAATTCACAAGTAGGGTTTCAAATGTCCTAATCATATCTAGGTTGTTCTCATTTAATATTTTATCAATCCCATATGTGCATACAAAGGTTAAGGTGATAAACTGTATATCTTTCAAACACATTGATGCTAATCAGCTCTTGATCTAATTACTATTTCATTTATTCAGAAATAGCATTTAGACATAAAAACCAATGTCTTGCTTTGTAAAATAACCTTTGGCTAATTTACACACATCTAATACAGCGTGTTATATAAGTTTTAAGTAATACAATGAGTCACTACTATCATTAAGTTTTAAATATTTTTAGTGTTAACAGGGCTGAGAATATCATGTGGTTCAGTCTTCTGACGAGAGCTATATAATAAAATCATAGTGCCTTTGAACATGAAGATTATCCTCAAGGCCAGAAGTCCTACAAAGGAACTGAAAGGTAGGAGAGATTCCAGAGATTTGCTGTCCTCATTTTTAACATGTAAAGTGACTGTTTTAAGTCACTTCATTGAAGACTTAGTAAAGAAAACAGTGTTGTTATGCCACTAATAAAGCTACTTAAACCACAATAATTTTGGGATATTAATCCTAGACTACATAATTAATGGATCATCAAAAAAAGAACCTGTCAGTTATTAAGCGTAAGTAAGTTAACTTCCTATGCCAAGTAAGGGTCACACTTCACTTCCTCCATTTGTAAAAAGAAAAGGTGGCCAGGCCAGTGCCATTCAGGATTCTCTGCTAACTGTAAAATGTGGACTGACTTTCTTCTTTTTCTTGTAGTCCAGATGTATATAAACTTCCAGTTCTTTAAATCAAAAATTTTTATGCATATAACCATGTCAGTGTATTGCCCTTAGTTTAAAAATGTACAACTACATAAATAAAAACTATTGTTTCTTCAGTATTACTTGACATTTCTTCTGTAATTTATTTATTTAAAAAAGTAAATGTAACAAGATACTTAAAAAAGGCTAGATACAAAAGTAGTTAAGCTGCTCACGAACATTTAAAATTTTCCAAAATGTATCTTCAATAATCATGATCTTATAAAACATTTTACAGTTATCAGAAAGTGCCCGGGCTGAGTTTACATAACTGAAATACCTTAGTACAAATGTCTAGTTAGAACTGAAGTGCAGTAACCCCTTGACTGACTGCTCATTGAAAAAGGGATACAAAGAAAAGGTTGATTGTGATAAAGTATTGTGCATTGGCCCCATCGTATGTACAAAAAAAGTGCCCTCACTCAAATGAGCAAATTACATGCAAAATATTAGTGATATCATTTAATGTCCTAGAGCTCAATGCAGTCAAAATAAACCGCAATAAAAGTGGTTTTTATAGGTAAAAGTGATTTCATCTCTTAAGATCTATCTGAATGTCAAGAACTTTTTTACAAGTTCCATATACATGATACACAATTGCAGCCAACCACAAATTAACCACCATAAAAAAAGTTAAAATGAAAACACAGAACATACTTAATTTTTTATTTTGAAATTCCCTATTCCCTCTATACAAGAACCTTTGCTGAAACACTTTCCACAAAGGCAGCAGTGAATTTTCAGAACATTTACATTTTTTTTTCCCCTCAGCAAAAAGATAAATCACAGTGTAAATTATGTTGTTCTGCTGTCATCTTTGGCTGGGATTAGACCCAGAAGTTGTTGACTAGCAAACCAATATAGCCAAATGTTGCTAGTGTTCCTCAGGCCTTTAAGCTATAAACTCAGCAAGGAATGTTTGCATTTTCTCTCTTTAAGGTACCACCCGGGGGGTGGGGGGTATGACAGCATTAACTTCCATAAACTTTTATAGACAAATGGAAAAAATCTACAAAATTAGCTAGTAATATTACACAGCAATACACACTTTTTATACTCTACACAAAACCAAAATTCTTGGTCTTAATGGCGAGTAACAATTTCTGTTTGAGAATCTGTTTAGAGGAATAAAGTGGGACATAAAGTCGAGAAATGCAAGTATTTGCAGTAGGAAGATGTTGGTCATCTGGTGGTCTTATTGTGATTGAGGGCATAGGCTGAAATCCTTCTTCACTGGCTGGCAATGATGGGCTTGATGTCCAAAAGTAAACCTAAACAGGAATTTAACAGGTTAATATTTAACTTTTAACTCTGACAATATATACAGAGCCCTATTATGTTAAAACCTAAAAGGAGCTTTTTTTTTTTTTTTTTTTTTTTTTTTTTTTTTTTTTTAAATAAAGACAGGGTTTCACCATGTTGGTCAGGCTGGTCTTGAACTCCTGACCTCAGGTGATTCGCCTGCCTTGGCCTCCAAAGTGCTTGGATTACAGGCATGAGCCACCTCGAGGAGATATTATTTTAAACTGAGCTATAAATGGAAAGGGATCATTCACACCTCAACACAGGTTTTTGTTTGTTTGTTTTTTAAACTCTTCCCCCCAAGGGAGTAAGTCTAGAGTTAGAAAGTCATTTTTTCCCCTCTCTACTATCTCAGAGCCTCAGGGTTTTCACCTGTAACATGAGGCTGTGGGACTAAATGGTTTCTAAGAGCCTTTCTGGAAGCTGCATTCCATAAAGTGTCTATTAGTGGAAGAAAGGCACAAGGCTGCCCAACAACAACAACAAAAAATCACACAGGTTATCTTAAAAAGTTATTTTACACTAAGGAGCAAATAATAAAGCAAACAAGTATTTACTGCTACGTTGTGATACAGAATCATTTTATAATAGTTATTACTAGGGAACATCTATGCATCAGAATTCATGCAATAAGCCATATAAACACCAAGTTTTATCTATAATAAAACTTGATGCAATACAGTTTAAATGATGCTCAGTAAATGTTATTAATAACTTATACTTTTTAACTTAAATATAACCAAGGATATGTCTCCCTGAAATATTTCACTCAACATGTAACATTCCTCATCAATCCATCCATTCATACACATGAATCATTCCTCAGTGTCCATATCTTAAGTTTTTCTTTTTTAATCTAATCCCTTTATAATGCACAACTCAACAGTGAAGTATATCCAATTTCCTAGAATAACTAGGAAACCTTGTATGGGAAAGCTCATCTAGAATTCTATATAAAGGAACAGAAAAAGAAAGGTATCAGGATCTATAAAATCTGAAAAGAAATCCAAGCCGGGCGCGGTGGCTCAAGCCTGTAATCCCAGCACTTTGGGAGGCCGAGGCGGGTGGATCACGAGGTCGAGAGATCGAGACCATCCTGGTCAACATGGTGAAACCCCGTCTCTACTAAAAATACAAAAAATTAGCTGGGCATGGTGGCACGTGCCTGTAATCCCAGCTACTCAGGAGGCTGAGGCAGGAGAATTGCCTGAACCCAGGAGGCGGAGGTTGCGGTGAGCCGAGATCGCGCCATTGCACTCCAGCCTGGGTAACAAGAGCGAAACTCCGCCTCAAAAAAAAAAAAAAAAAAAAAAAAGAAATCCAAAAGAGGTACTCTAGAGATGAAGCTGATGCAAACCACTCATTTCATAGATAAGAAACAAGCTTAATGTAGTGTTTCTCCAAGGATGAATGTGGTTAACCAGGGTAGATGACCTCGCTGCTGGATCTCCAAGAAGATGGAAGAAGAGAAATACTCCTACTAGTGAATTATAACACTCCAGGAGGGAAATAAACTTTGCAGGACTAATTAATTCACGGGACAGCTGTTTCAGAAACCCCATACTTAAGTCCTCTAGATGGAACAGGATAAAACCAACAATATGTGAAGAATGATTTCCCAAAAGAGAAGGGTAAGGGGGAGCAAGATACCACGATATACTGCTTATACCCTAAACACAGATTTTCCAAAAGGGTTTAAGACTCACAAATTAAAGGTTTTTGCAGGAAATTTTGAAGTCTTTATAGAAGGAGATTTTCTTTTTTCTAAGATTGAGTCACTAGCAAATTTTTCTTTCAGTAAAAGGCAGAAACTGCCATGAGATTTAAGTTGGCTGACTGGACTGAGGAAATACAAGTTTAAAAACAGCAGGAAATTAAAACTAGGGAACAGAATAAAACAGTTAACTTAGAAGTTACACTGGACAGCCAATCATTTCTATTTCTGTTTTTGGTGGTTCTTACAGACTTGATATGGGCCTTGTCTTAAGGAAACACAGTGCCCTCAATCTAAGGACTAAAGGTGGTAGAACTTAAGCTATTAAGATGATCCTGAAACCAACAGGGACAGGTATAATATTGGTACTAGTGGGAACGTCAATAGCCGCAAGACTGGGGAAGTCAAATACTGACCAATTATGTCAAACCCACCTGGGGAACAACCTAAGTCAAAATTACCAGGGTGGCTAAAAACTGAGAAATGAACTAGGTGGCAGCTAGAACTGCTGAACAAACCTATCTCGCCATAGCAGAGAAATATTAGAAGGCTCTCACAGCCATGTAAAGATTCAGGAGTGCTAAAAGCATGAGTGCCCCTCTACCCCCAAAATAAGCTCCTCCCTAAATGAAGGTAACTGGGAATCTGCAAGTTTTGTTCTTTCCTGCACAAGTAACCATTTCCCCTTATTCAAATAAAATGAAGGATATATCTAGAAATATGATCCTTTTCTTTCCATGAGTAGTCTAGTTTTGAACTAAGGCTGGTTAGACAGGGAAATGTTCCAGGAACCATGAAGAGTAAGAGTATAGAAAGGACCCTCCAGGGTTTTCTTGATAAGGAATGTCCTTCAAATTTCTACAAGAAAGTCTGCAGCATAATGCCTTTCAAGATTAATGGGCAAGATGATTTGGTTGTGCTTTTACTTGAAGGTGGACATAAGTTCCACTGACTTGGCAGACTTTCCACTAAGATCAAAGGTACTGTTATCTATAATTCTAAGTTAGCTGGGACTCTTTACTAGTAACATTTTGAAAGACTTAATACCCACATATCACAAGCTACTCTCCTCTTAGTATGCAGACAACAATCAAGATTAGTCAAAAGGATTAAGGATGTATACAGGGAGAAACATATGTAAGCAGTACAATAAAAAAGATAAAAAGCCATGTTGCAACAATAAACTGGTATCTTCTCGGACTAGATAGCATATTAACAGCTAAATGTACTTCACCCTGCTTAGAGCTTTAGTAATACTTCAGATATTGTTATAGAGTAGAAAAACAAGAACTTCCTTATTTGTGACCTTCTTAAATTGCTCTACCCAAAATTAAAATGACCAACCATAAGAAAAGGCCATCATACATGGTATTTTTAAGTTTTATATTTCCTTCTACAAATCTCGTGAACTTACAAGATCTTGTCGTTCTGTCATGCTCATCTTCTCTACTATTGACCAGAACCAACGCTTGAACTGCAGAAGTTTCTCAGCATTTTCTCCTAAGAATGAAAAATGTAAATAAAATATACTATATCAGTTATCTATAAAATATTAATCTTATAGGATACAAGATTAAAACATTAAAACTGGGGGGGTCTAATTCCTAATACAGGGAATTAACGGTGTTTGCATAATGTAAAACCTCTATAGTTCATTAGTCAATCCTGACTTAATATGACCAAAACAACAAACCACCAGCCTCAAAATTGATATTCACATGACTTTAATCTTATCTGTATGTCATTATTCTTAGGACCTCAAGAAATGAAGATTCTCATTCATTCACTGGGTGGGGAATGCAGAGAGGGGAGACCAGAGATTCTGCATATCTAAAATGCTTTCAGATGATGCCCATGCTGCTGATCTGAGGATCACATTTGGGAGTGTAGGCAGTTTCTTTGGATACTTTGTTTTCCTTCCTAAATTTTCAGTTTGTATATGAGAAATTCTTACTAGTATTAAAAACTGTATTACAAAGTAGCACAAAAACGATTACAATATATAGTTTGGCTAAAGCTGCTTGCAAAATAGGAAAAATAAAGGAAAACAGTACCTTTGTGTACATA